ATTTTTGAGGTTTTGTTTCTCAATCTTGAATTATGGACACAAACACTACAACAGTACCTGTCTTTGCAGTCACAGAGGAAGATGGCTGGCTCTGGCCTCCACTGTTCACAGACATGATGCTGAGTGAGTACTCGTGTACGGTTCGAGGGACTCAATCTCAGCGGGGGAGGAGAACACGATGTTTTCTCTGATGAAGCGGTTGGGATTCTGCAATCGTATGATGTAAGATGTCACCCCTGTCTTCAAGCTGAAAGACACCATAAAAGTCTTGCTGTCCTTCGACTTCACTGTCCGGAGGGGATCCATCACCTCAGGAGCTAAAAGATTCACAAGAAATACAGTTTGACGAGATACTCCACCTTCCCAGCAATAGTTGGCAATGCAATCCATCTTTTTACCCACAGATTTCAGGGCAAACTATTTTGTGTCTGCAACAGTACGTCAAATTTGAATTCTGAATGTAATAAAATAAAACTATTTGCTTAAAGAAAGGTTTATTTAAATCATGAGGCACTAACAGTGACTCTTCTGTGCTCCTCTGCTCATCATCAAAGTACCATGTAAGTGTTTAAATGTACACGTTACATTAGTTATTCAGATAACAAATGTTTAAAAAACATTCTGACTGTAATGTGTATACACATACACTATATAGACAAAAGTATTGGGCCACCTACAGGAGCTTTTATGACATCCCATTCCAAATTCTTGGGCATTAATATGAAGTTGGTCCCCCCCTTCGCAGCTATATTAATTTCTGGAAAGGCTTTCTACAAGATTTTGGAGAATCTCCGTTCTAGTTCATCCCAAAGGTGTTCAAGTCAGGGCTCTGTGCGGGCCAGTCAAATTCTTCCACACCAAACTCATCCAACCAGGCCTTTATAGACCATGCTTTGTGCACAGTCATGCTGGAACAGAAAAGGGCCTTCCCCTAACGGTTTCCACAAAAGTTGGAAGCATAGAATTGTCCAAAATGACTTGGTAAGATGAAACATTAAGAATCCCCATAAAAACAACCCCATAGCATTATCCCTCAAACTTTACAGTTGGCACAATGCAGTCCGGCAGGTAACGTTCTCCTGGCATTCGCCAAACCCAGACTCGTCCATCAGACTGCCTGATAGAGAAGCGTGTTTCGTCACTCCACTGCTCCAGAGTCCAGTGGCAGCACCGTTGGGTGCTGATATTAATGCCAGAGCTGGTTTGGAACTCCGCAGTTATTGAGTCAGCAGAGCTTTGGCGACTTTTAAGCACTCTGCGCCTCAGCACTCGGAGACCTCGCTCTGTAAATTTACGTGGTCTTTACGTGAGTGGCTGTGGTTCCTAAACGCTTAGACTTTGCAATAATAGCACTTACAGTTGATCGTGGAATATCTACGAAAGAAGACATTTCACGAGCTGACTTGTTGCAACGGTGGCATATTACAGTACCACGTTCGAATTCAGTGAGCTCTATTAAATTACATTTATAAAGCGCTTTTCCTGGTGCTCAAAGTGCTTTAGAACGACCCATTCGTTCACAAATGTTTGTAAAGGCAGACTGCAGGGCTAGGTGCTTGATTTGATACACCTGTGGCATGGGACTGAATGAAACACCTGTATTCAATGATTAAGGAGTGTCCCAATACTTTTTTTTTTTTATATGCATAATTAGTTTGCCCGAATATCACAGAATAAAACGGTAGGCCTACTGTACTAACTAAAACACATGCACCAGAACGTTTTTTTGTTGTGATGAAACAAGAAAACGCTCAGTTAAGTGCTTTAACATCACAAGGTTACTTCACCCGAGGAAGAATCGATAGTTCCAATGTTTAGTATCCCTTGAGCATTATCCAGAGCTGCAACTGTGAATGTATACATGATGTTTGGGGACAGAGAGTTGATGGTGCCCATCACTGTGTTTGGACCAAACAAGGCATAACCAACGGGGCTGCCTGGGGAGTTCTTGGTGGCGGCGATGACCTTGTATGAGCTGGCTCCGTGGACCCTGGTCCATCTGAGAATCGCGCTCTTCGATGTTGCAGAGAACACGGATACTTCGATATCTGATGAGAGAGCATCTTTATAGTAGCCTACTTTTTTACACCCTGAGAAATTGATTCATTTACAGATACATATACCATCAATATTTTGTGCACTTTCATTCTCATATGAAAATGATAATACCATCTGCAGTGTAGTTATGGTAAAATATAAAATACATACCTTGTGCTGCAGCCTGCAAATGTAGATAACATAAAAACGGTTATGGTTTTATATGAAATTCAAGTTCCTACTACTTGACTGTAACATTGTATCACTCCTTTTTAAAAACAGGATTTCTGAGCCTGAAATGAAATAAGCAAAATTACTATAACACATTTTAGTCCGTTACTTTACCTGTGAGCATATGCTCAGCAAGACAAAAATCGCTGGCCACTTCATCTTTTCTTGAAGTAAAATGTAAAAAAATGACTTCTCTCCTCACACTATGCAGCTTCTGTTGGATTTAAATGCTTCACTCTTCAAGGTTTCACCTTTTTCTAAACATACCTGGTGTCTGTGCTGGTATAAATAGCTGCATTTGGCCCCTCCCACTGAAGCAATTGACCAATCACAGTGAAGCAGCGTAATAGAGAGGCGAAGTCCCTCCCCTTCCGGTGGACCTCCATGGGACCATGGTTAGTGCTAGATCGTATACCTCCTGGGTTTTAGGCGGAAGTGACGTAATCTGCCACCGAGGACAAGAGACGACGCTGGCTGCTGCCGTCTTCACACAAATAAACCCCTTAAAACCTGTATGATTTAGTTTTCACATGTTTATTGAAATGAATTCGTCCATCTCTTTATATTATAGTATTAAATGTATTATTTTCGGTTGTGTATTTGTGTTTTGAAGGTTTTTTTTGGATGTTGCGATTTAATTTCTCCAAGAGAGACAAAAAATCACTAAAAGATCTGGTGGATATCTGACCAGTATTTCATCATGGAAGTTAAATCACAATCATTTCATTATCCTGTGGAGGATAATGTTGTTTTGTGACAGTTGCTCAATTTTAGAACAAACAAAATAACATACTTAATAAATAGCTAAATGTATATATATATATATATATATATATATATATATATATATATATATATATATATATACACAAGAAGTAAAAGTGTGAATTTCAAGATAAGAAAAATATAATAAAAAGATTAATGTAATTATAGGAAATAAAATCAAAAATTGGCAATGCAAAATAAAATAACCATATGTATATAAAGATATAAAACAAACAAGAAATGAAAGCAGAAATGTTAAATATGATTTTAAATAACAATATTTATGTTGAAATAAGAAGTGAAAGTAAAAGAGGGCAATACAACAAAGATATAATAAAATACAATTAAAAGATGTACATTAACATAGGAAGTAAGAATACAAATGTGCAATACAAGATAAATACTTAATAAATAGCTAAATGTATATATATACACAAGTAAAAGTGTGAATTTCAAGATAAGAAAAATATAATAAAAAGATTAATGTAACTATAGGAAGTAAAATCAAAAATTGGCAATGCAAAATAAAATAACCATATGTATATAAACATATAAAACAAACAAGAAATGAAAGCAGAAATGTTAAATATGATTTTAAATAACAATATTTATGTTGAAATAAGAAGTGAAAGTAAAAGAGGGCAATACAACAAAGATATAATAAAATACAATTTAAAGATGTACATTAACATAGGAAGTAAGAATACAAATGTGCAATACAAGATAAATAAAAAGACTAACCTTACAGAGTTAAAGTAAAAATGTTGCAATACAAGTTGTAATTAAATAGAATAAAAATATGTATGGATAATTTAATAGGGATTATTTTTTTGTTGAGACATCAGGACCCTTCTCTACTCCCTCCACATTCATGCTGACCCGGAAGTTCAACCTCATAGCTTCCGCAAAGCAGCCTACCCTTTTTGTGAATGGGTGCTTTTGTGGTACGGTTTTCACAGGTAGGTTGGCCATCTCCTTCTTCCTTTTCTTAGGTGTGAACGTCAGAGGAAGGCTCTGATCATGTGGAGTGTGTAGCTTCACATCTTCCAAGATCTCGGTCATTTGGTCAGTTAACGTTTTAAGGTAATCTTCATCTTGCAGATGGTATGTTAAGTCAGTAATCTCACGCAAGAGACTGGCACATTCCCTTCTTTGTTTAACCTTTCTTGGTCTTTTCCTTTCGGGCAAAGCGTTACATGGTGACTGCATTTCCACTGATACCGGTGTGTATGTATGATCTGTGATGTCTGATCTGCCGCTGTCATCCCTCTCACAAGAAGTCTGTCCCAGACATGCATTATCCAGGGAGAAGAGGGGGTTATCCCTGTAATTAGATGCCAGTTTCTCCCAACCCCATTCATGCACATGATTAAAAACAGCACAGAAGTGCTTGCAGGGCAACTTGTGCTTTGCCCAGTCTTTGCAGGTGCACGATGGCATGATGATACTTTCACCAAAGTTGATGTGGTGCTGTGTGCAAGGATGACTTTGGCTTTTGACATGGAACATGCCATTGCCCTTTGCAACAACGTCATTCGCCTCATAAAACTGGGCTTCTGTAAGCCTTGACATCACATGGTCTGCTACACTTCTTGGTCTGTCTTTTAAGAACTTTGGCATGTTCTCATTGTACCTTCTGTAGAATGAGGAGTACTTGACATTGAGTTCAATGTACCTTCAATAAGAGATGAGAACAATATCTTAGAAGTCTCTCTGTGACAGTTTGCTTTCTCTGACATATAGATATGGTATTTGATAATACAATTGTCTCAGAAACATATGCAACAATGAACAACATCAAACAAATATGTTGGAAACAAAGCTATCGAACATTACATTTATATATATATAAAAATGTGTGTGTGTTTGTGTATGTATGTATGTATGTATATATAAATATATATATGTATAATCATAGTAATTCTTTTTTAGCTCACTTCCGATATGTCCTTGGTAGGAAGTCAGTTACCAACACAGTGAGCATTTCACTGAGGCTGCAGTTCTTATAACCTTCAAGATGAGAATGCTTTAGGGTTTCATTTTGTCTTTCCACCCCATTGTTGGTGTAGATGGCCACCTTGAGATCTTCATCCCGAAACACGTGCACCCATCTCTACACAAGACAAAAAAAGACAAAAAAAATTAAAAGGAAGACTCTTCAAATTCAACAAATGATATAATAAATATAATATAAAAGTAAATATAATATTTGAACTTGATACACACCTTAGCCTCTGGGAGCCACTTATTTGAAAACCACGCCCTCACTTTTTCATTGTCCTTCCAGACTTTGGCCTCCTGCAGGTTGCAAAGGCGTGTGCTGAACTCCTCTGGAGTTGAAGCAGCTGCAATGCTTCTCAGAAGCGGTAGGAGACTGTCTTGTGCGTGGCTCACTCCATGATCTTTCTTCCTGCACCATTCAACCCAAGCTTTCTCCCTATGGAAGTCGCAGAGAAGCACCTTGGAACCTGGATAAAATATAAGAGATATATTACCTGCACCATGTTGTCATTTTATTTTGTCGCGTTGCTATTACATAGTATACGCGACAAAATATAGGCCTGCTTTTTATACATCTGTCTGTCAGTGGAGGTGATGACTTTATTTTGAAGTAGATTGTTGCATACATTTGCATGTAAATGGTTATATTTTGGAAGTTGGTGGAATACTATGTAAAATGTATCCTTTTTTTTAATTAACGTTTCATATTATGTGAATTAACAGATTTCTACAGTTACTGCAATTTCACCTTGAAACTCTTCCTCCAGGGCACCGATCTCTACCTCTGAGAAATCAACCATGAAGTGGCTAGGGCTCCAGTCAGGGTTCCACTCCTTAAACACCTGGAGGGCTTCTTTGACATCTGCTGTTGTCTCACTCTGGGTCACAAAGAGGCCAACCACTGCATAGCACACATTTGTACGTACACATAGGAAGAAGAGGGGAACAGAATAACGACACGTCCGGTAAGTAGCATCAAGCAGGCACATCTGTTGTCCATACAGGTGGAGAAGCCTTCGCTGCCAGGCTGTCTGGTAACAAAACAGCAGCTTTGTGACAGTTCCGTCCTCCTGTAGCTGGCTTGGCCTGTACTTGATTTTGCAGTCATCAACTAACCATCTGGGCGTCAGAAGCTGTGAATGAAAGTGTAACTGGACATTATCATCATGTAGCCTCATGGCCCAAACATTAGGAACATTTGTTGTCATATCAGGGCAAAAAACAGTTTTGAAGTTTTAGTTGCATTTTGAAAAATGGTCATACCCTGCATATGAACCAAATACTGCTACTTTGCTTTGCTTACTTACACCTGCATTCAGAGGACAATGTATCATGTAAAAAAAAAAAAACTGACCATGCTTGGTGAAGTCACAAACTCTGTAAGTTGTGCATTAACCACCCACACAAACTTGCATGGCTTGAATAATATTAATACTATTCTACTCTCAGTGTATTACCTGCAGATTGACCTGGTCATTTTTGGATTCACGTATTCCCTCCTTCGTTCTTGATAAGATATTCCTGATATCCTTGTCTGTGGGGTAAAACCTCCGACGTGTTTGTGGAGGTGGCTGCTCCCCCCGGAATAGCTCGTCATTTACAAAATTGAACAGTTGACGTCTAATCTCACTAAGCTTTCTGGCACCAGCCAAGGTGAGCTTCACTATTTGTTGTTCAACTCTGGAATCCATCGGTTCACGCAGTTCAGCTACCTGTACATGACGTTGAACAGGGTAATTATAGATGTTTAAAGCTGTCTAAAGAAAGTCCTCTTTGTACAGCACAAATTGTACCTCGCATCATGTTTCTTACAGCAGCTAAAGGAATAGATTTTGCATGGTTACCTCTCCAACAGTTGGATGGTTTTGATGGTCACTTTCTGGGGTGAAGCATGTGTGGTATTCCATGACTACTTCAACTGTTGAAGGATCAGCTGCAACTACAGCCTTTAGTGCTGCTGAGAGCTCCCTCCTCTTTGCTTTACTGTTCTCTGCAATCTGGGGAATATAAAAATGACATGGCAATTGGGATCATGACACGAGAGCAATTATAGCATTGAACGCACTTGTGCTGTGCTTGTGCTGTACCTTGAAACCAGGACATTTCATGACCTGACTGACAGTTATCTGGGCAGGGCAATCCATCTTCTTCGTATTTTGTACGAGATGGCGTCTTGCATTGAAGACATGGTCTTCAAGCTAAGAGAAAAAAGGTGTATAGAAATACAATATTAATATATGTATACATTTTCATGGTCTCCTCTCCATAACGTGGAGAACATAATTTTTGCTATGGTTCTTTCTTTTGTCTTCTTTAAAATATTTGTAGGTCCTGCTAATATAACTATAGTGGGACATTATGTCATTACCCCTGCATCTGTACTGTTTGTGTCTATTTATTTTGCACATATACCATCCCCTGTTAAAATAAGTAACCAGTATAGGAAGAATTTGGTGCCAGGTCATGACCGTGAGCTGGTTGGGTTCTGTAGGTGAACAAAGGAAGGATATCCCCCTTTATTTTGTCT